GGCCCCCGCCCCCCCCCCCGCCCCCGCCCGCCGCAGAAGCTGCCGCAGCTCCCCGGGCAGGAGGGAGAGGCTGCCCAAAGCCCTCAGAAGCTCCAGCAAGTTCTCAGAGCAGGTGGTGGGTAAGGCTGGTTGGGTGGCCAGGGCGACCAGCAGGCAGCCCACCATGCCTGCCTTGACACAGGTGAGGCGGCTGGACAAGGAGGCTTCGCAGAGGCGCCGCAGCTGAGCCGAGAGGAAGAGCTGGAGGTCCCTGCAGGGCAGGGTGGGCAGCCAGCCCAGCAGGATGAGCAGGGGCTGCTCGTTGCGGATGGGACGCACTGGGAAGGAGCTGTGGTCGCCTTCCACCGCCTGTTGGAGTGCAAGAGGTTGTTGGTGCAGCCCTGAGTCCTTGGAGAGGGATAGATCTTCCCCTCCGGACAATCCGGGGTGGTGGAAGAGGTGCATCAAGCTTATCTGAGACCCTGGTGCATCAAAAACCTTGGAGACTCCTGTGCATCAGGAGTCTTGGAGACCTTCATGCATTAAGAATCTTGGAGACTCCCATACAATAAGAATCTTGGAGACCCTCATGCATCAAGAACCTTGGAGACCCTCATGCATCAAGAATCTTGGAGACTCCTGTGCATCAGAAGTCTTGGAGACCCTCATGCATCAAGAATCCTGGAGACCCTCATGCATCATGAATCTTGGAGACCCTCATGCATCAAGGATCTTGGAGACCCTCATGCATCCAAAGTCTTGGAGATGCCTGTGCATCCGAAGTCTTGGAGACTCCCATACACCAAGAGTCTTGAAGACCCTTGTACATCAAAAGTCTTGGAGGTTCTCATGCAGCAAAAACCTTGGAGACTCCTGTGCATCAGAAGTCTTGGAGACCCTCATGCATCAAGAATCCTGGAGACCCTCATGCATCAAGGATCTTGAAGACCCTCATACAACAAGAATCCTGGAGACCCTCATACATCAAGAATCCTGGAGACCCTCATGCATCAAGGATCTTGAAGACCCTCATACAACAAGAATCCTGGAGACCCTCATACATCAAGAATCCTGGAGACCCTCATGCATCCAAACTCTTGGAGATGCCTGTGCATCCGAAGTCTTGGAGACTCCCATACACCAAGAGTCTTGCAGACCCTTGTGCAAAGAAAGTCTTGGAGGCCTCCATGCATTTAAAGTTTTGGAAAGCCCCGTGCATCAAGGGTCTTGGAGACCCTCATGCCTCAAGAACCTTGGAGACCCTCATGCATCAAGAATCCTGGAGACTCCTGTGCATCAGAAGTCTTGGAGACCCTCATGCATCAAGAATCCTGGAGACCCTCATGCATCAAGGATCTTGGAGACCCTCATGCATCACTTGTCTTGGAGGACTCCATGCAACAGAAGTCTTGGAGGTTCCTGTGCATCAAGGGTCCTGGAGACCCCTGTGCATCAAGCATATCAGAGACCTCCACGTATCAAGCACCTTGGAGACCCACCCTGTGCATCAAGCATTTTGGAGACATTGTCCCATCCAGCAGTGCCAGAGTAAGCACTGCCACACCAGAAAGGGATCAAATCTCCCCAGGGCTGAGCAGGACTCCAAGCTAAGGATGGTCCTAGGAGCTCTTGGGAGGAGCCACTGGGAAACTAACAGGGTTGGGGGACTTGGGGAGGGTGAGGAATGGGACTGCTGGGGCCGAGTTGGGGCTTTGCTTGGCATGGGGAAGTGGGCATGCTCACCATGTTGAGGAGCTCCTGGAGCAGGCGTTGGGTGGGCTGGCCCTGGCTCCTCAAGACCTCGTAGAGGTGGGCGTAGCCGATGCGCTCCTTGAACACCTCCTGCAAGCAGCCAGGCACGTGGGGCCCTGCACCAGGTC